GCGTGCGGCTGCGTCTGCGGCTGCAGCAGCTGCAGCTGCAGCAGCAGCGGCCTGGGCTTTTTCTTTTTCTTTCTTAATTTTAGTCAAGTCTTTCTTTAGCTCCTCCTGAAGTATATTAAATGATAAATAGAGAGGGAGGCACTTCGTATGATTATTCCAGGACAGGATTAAAATCTAGACATAATCCCCGTGCTCAACCAAAAGAAAATAATTAAAGTCATTTAAATATGTAAGTTTTTTAATGTGCGCTTAACCTACAATTCACAAAACATTAGGCATGACACTCTTGGCCTACTATGACCCCCTGGCTGTAATTTATCAGAAGCTGTTTCAGGAAACAAGGTAATTTCAGTCTAGATGAAAAATGAGAAGCATAAAAAGGGCATATAATAGCTTCGCAGAGAGCCATGCATCCACAACTTCTTCCTGTATGTTTTCTTAAAATCTCACTGAGCAAACAGATAAAGATTAGCACAGAAATGTTCTCCCCAGCTTAAAATGAAGTTAATATTTGAGAATAACTGTCCTTACCTGCACTTCAATTTGTAGATCTTTGTCTAGAAGTGCTCTTTTTTTCAATATTTCAGCTTTCAGCTGTTCTTTATGCTTGAAAAGCAGAGCTGAGAGCTTAGTAGCATTCTGTTTACTACGCTTCTGTTCTACACTCTCTTCTCGCTTTCGTTTCTTAGCTGCCTGTTTTTCTTCTTTGTCTATCTTATCCAGAATATATTTCATCACTTGGTTGCACACAATCATTCTGGGAAAGAAATACAGAAAAAGTACATTGTGCTGAGCGGCCTATTTATCCCCAGTTGAGAATGCAGAATCATTTAATTCTCCAGTTTCTGCAAGTTGCAAGCTAAATTATTACATTTCTTAAGACGTATAAGGCAAATTTTGTAATACACATTGCTCCCACTCATACTTATTTACTAGAACACCACTGGGAGATATAAAGTCCCTAGTTAGGCTCATGAAGGTCAGTCCCAATTTCATTTAACTGATCCGAGTACTAATTGTTCCTCCTCTTCCTCTATAAAACTCCTAACAAAGCTTAGGCTTTAGTACAATGATAGATATTTTCACTCAATTCCGTTTCCACAAACATGTTTGAAAGAGTTAAATTTTGTTTGTTCAGATGTAGGATGAAAGCAAGCTGGAAGCCTGTAACTTCTTCTAAAACATATATTTCCACCCTCCAGTGACCACCAAATATTATTAAGTTTTTATGTTTTGACACAAGGACCAACAAATATTTTTCAATGTATAGAATTCACTATAAAACAGTTCCCAATTTCTTCACTAATGACAACTCAGGATTAATTTTTCATCTGCTTGTTGTACACTGAACTATAAATCACTTTTCCTGCTCACTTGTTCTGTAATTTTCATTTATTTTGCTTTATATTTCAATTAGAAAATGAATGTATTTTGGTTCTTCTGAATTTACTTTTCCTTTCTAATTCTATTTCAAACCCACTAGAAAACTAAATGCTTCTCGTTGCCAGAGTAACCATGAAAAATAACCCACTGACATATGAGCTGAAAGCAAACAACAAAATAGCAATGGCCAGGACAAGTAGCCGCTGCTAACTCTGTAGTCTTAGACTCAGACATATCATCTTTTAATACACATTTGTATTTTGATGACATATGTAATATGCTAGCTGTTTTGTAGGACCATTTACGGGCTCTTTCTACCCGCACTATATCTACCTGGTTTAGTCTGTTTTTTTACCAGGTAAGATACCCAAACTCTATTTTTGGAGAAGAAGAAAAACAGTGAGATGGAAAGACAGCTGTACCCTGAACCAAGCTAGTTAGGACTAATTTTATTTATTTACTTTTTTAATTGGACTTCTGTCAGTCTAAATACCAATTTGGCTGTCTGACACCATTAAATGAAGAGTATATGACAACACATCTTATTTGTTATGCAATTGTGAACATTAAGCGAGTAGCACCTAGTGATACTGTTGTAATCAACTAAGCTTGATGATAAAAATTTTATAAAAAACATTATTCTTTTTCTTACTATCTGACAACACACACACTTGTGATTATTCAACAGAAGCAACTACATGAGCGAAAGGAGTCAAAATAACCCCAAGACAAATGTCAAACACTCCAAATTTGTGTTTAGCAGCTTCAAGCACAAAATCTCCCAGTTTGTTGAACAGCACTATCTTCCAACTCTTCAATTCTTTCCGTAGAGTGGGATGCGCAGTGGACAAGAATGGAAATAAACTGCCATGATAAAGGACGAACAAAACCCAGGCTTTTTTGCAACAGAACCATTAATTCTTCATTCTGTGCTCCTTTAAGGACGGTTTTTACCTTGAATTTAAAAACTCTGGCCAGCTCCAAACAAATGCAATACAACATTTCACTTTAAAAACATATCATCAAAATAAAATTGAGAATATACAGGATTCAACTAAAGTTAATAACATCATCATGAAGGTTACTTTTGTGCGTTACTTTAAAATTGGTTAAAATAGCAAGATTTCTTCAAGCAAGTTTTTACAAACCAGTGTTTTATTATATCACCATTAAAAGATGTTACAAATGTAAAACTTTCACATCTAAAGATGCACTATGATGCACATTCACCTCTGATTTTCTTCCCTCTCAGCTGGAGTCAGTGTCTTCTTCTGTTTCAAGTGTTCTATGACAGCATTCTGTTTCATAACCACCTGTAGGATGACACAGAATCCAAAATAAAATATGAAAACTTTAGTCTGTATTTCATAACATTACTGGGAGAACCAGGACATTTCCTAAGTTAAAGAAAAAGTTAAAGTGTTATTTATTTCAGTAAGTGACAAAATAAAACTGATTTTATCAGGGACAGTACTTGTTTAAAGCAATTATTTGAAAATTGAAAATGAAACTGAAAAGTAACACCCCTCCCAGAGTAGGACATTTTGCTTATGTTGAGTTTAAACTCAGGGACTAAATGCAAATTGACAGTATTTCTTCAGTGCCTGGTTGGTTTATCTTAAAAAATGGTCAGAGTCTATTATATATGTATACAAGTATTTTTTTTAAGCCCCGCAGCCATCCAACAGCATTACATTTCAGATACCTCTTTGAAACCTCAGTTTCCTATAGCAGGCAACGAAAGTAATGTACATGTGTTCTGAACATCAGCTCTCCTATCTATAACCTATCTTTCCTAAACTGAGAATAAAGATATATTGTCCCAGCAGCTAGTGGTAAGTTGAGTCAAGGTGCCAGAAGACTGCAACATGGTATAATTGACTTGATGTGCTGAATTAACTTAGAATATTTAATTAAATTGCCAAAAGCAATCGTGCACTAACTTTGAAAGAATTAAATTAACTGCCTATCAAATGTATTAACATTGTTAACAAGAACAGGCATTTAAAATGAGATTTGTTTCATTCATTAAGTTTTAATTTCCTTCTGTTAACTTTACCTGTTTCTGGATAATGTCACTTTGATTAGAAGCCTGAAGGGTGTGCTCACGTTTAATTTCTATCTGTTGCTGCTTTTTCTTCTGTTGCTGCTCCCTGAGCTGCTGAACTCTCTGCAGCTGCTCCTGAACACTAGCTGCTTGAACTGTTACCACATTCTGAATCTGGTGAGCCTGTACTGGGCTAGTTTGTTGGATCTGAATAGGTAACTGAAGCTTGATCTGCTGGGGCACACTGCCTTGTTGGGCTTGTATCTGAGCCACAACATGTGACTGAAGCTGAGAGAGAACTTGGACTTGTTGCTGAAGCTGAGGCACTGTAATAACTTTTGTTGGAGGCTGCTGAAGTTGCAGCTGAGGACGAGTTGGGGATTGCACAGGAACCTGATTTAAACTTTGAGTAGTTGGAAGGGTTGAGACTGAAGTCTGAACCTGAGGTTGTGATTGCTGCAGCTGAGCTTGAATTTGTATGGGAGCATGGGGCTGCATCTGAATCTGTTGTTGGGTTGTAGTCTGCACCTGAGCTGGTTGCTGAGGCTGGACTTGGGACTGGCCTTGTGGAAGGACTGCAGTCTGCGGCTGACTCTGGACTTGCATTGGAGATTGCCCTTGAGCCTGGGTCTGTGCTGGAGACTGAACTGGAGATTTCGACGATTGTGCTTCGGGTGTGACTGGAGAGTCAACAGACGCCGGAGTCTGAGATTCAGGCTCGGTCTGAGATTCAGGCTGAAGTGCTGGCTGAGGTGCCTGTGGCTGGGCCAGCGGCGCAGGCTGAGGACTCTGATTCTGCACTTGAGTCTGGGCTTGCTGCTGACTCTGAGGCTGTGGCTGAACTGGTGGCAGCACTGATGTTGGCTGTGCCTGTAGACCTTGCTTATGTTCCCCAGCAGCTGTGAAGGATAAAAACAATTATTCCATTCATTTCAAATGACATGTCTATGAGCTGTACTAATTTGAACATTTCAGAACTACTGTAAAGCTCTATGCAGAAATTCAAGAGATTTCTAAAGTTATAATACACTTCCAATAAATTTACTGTAATAACAGACCTTCTCCAACTGCATAAGAACTCCTATGCAACTGAAACTGAAGCTTTTTTCCCCTGCCAAACAGAACAATGCTTACCTGAGGTTGAAGTAGAAACTGTTGTAGTTGTGCTAGCTGTAGTAGCAGCTGCTGGTAGTGGGGTGAAAAGAAATCTCTGAATTGTACCATTTGGCATAGCTGCTTGCATAAGCTGTTGTCCTGGACCAGGTATTACAGTCACACCCTGAGGGATTAATTGTAATTGACCAGTAGTTTGACCTTGTCCCTGAATTACCACAGTTAATCCTTGACTGCCACCCTAAAAAAAAAAGTTAATATTGATGTATTAGTGATATAATTCTTCCACAGACTTTGCTGAAAATCAGAAGAATTACAGTTTTGGATTTCAGAATTCAATACTTTTGCCACATATCATACTCCTAAAATCCATTCCTAAAATCCAAAATTAGCATCTGAGATCATGAAATACTAAAATAACTCTTTCAACAATTCTATCACCAACAGATTACTGGGTTGGAGTTACTTACATGTATTTTCATCCAAATATTGACAAGAACCCTAGCCAGAAAGCAGCTAAAATAGAACATCTTTGTTCCTACAATTTACAAGCCATAGAGAACATGGATAATTTTAGACATACTATTTATTACTTTCTCAAGAATCCCAACAGTTCGTGTAAAAGTTCTGTGCACTGAAAACATTTCCTAACCGCGTATCAGATCCTACCCAGTTGTAAGCTTTCATGACTGACTGTTCAATTTGTAATGTACTGTGAATTTCTGTTGCTAAAGCTGACATTTAGGCAGCTCATGACATCACTCTCAACTCAGTGATGGAGAAGGTAGGGTATTGTCGCAACACCTGCACGCATAACTCCACACTTTGTGAACCCATAGAACAGAACAAGGTCCCTACAAAAATCCCGAGTCTTTTGCTGTGGAAATGAACTGTGGAAATATAAAAACCCTTTCTGGCAACAAGCAGCCTGTACATTACAATCACTTATATACATTATTTATAATTTGAAGAATAGGTATTGTGGTAACTCACAGAAGTCTATTTTTACCCTATGCTTGACTCTAAACTTATTTTTTGCCAACAGACCTTCATGATCTGAGCAGGAGCTGTCAAGAACTTTTTCCTTGTCCAGTTCCAGATACTGTAATTTTTCCTCTGAGTCTCTGGATAACATGAATGAAAACTAAGTCTTCACACAAAATCAAAAGACAAGGAACGAACATTACATTCTGAAAGTTTACAAAATAGGCTATAGAAAATAATTCTGTCCCTTCCTGCTATTAATGCAAAGACTTTTTTCCATACTGCTAAACTTTCCTGATGCTAGTTACATTACTGGGGAATACAACAGGAAGTGATATTTAAAACTTTACATATGCTATTTAAGCTTCTTTCAGTCTGTAATTATGCAATTGGTCATCCTAAATGAAGGCCAAAACATAAATTTATGAGCAGATACACTACACCGCTGAAATCCAAAGTCTTGATGAGATGCATCATAAGTACCGGCACAATATTTTACCTGTCCTTGCGTTAGTTGGGTCAGTTGGGCCATAGTGAGTTTCACTTGACCCTGCTGGGGGCGAGGGGGCTGCGGTGTGGTTTGTGGCTGTACTTGCTGAGGTGGTGTTCCAGGACTTGTGACAGTCTTCTGTCCAGCACTGGAAGAAGCTGTGCTGGTACTAGAAACTGCTGTGGAGACAGGCTGACCCCTGATTATTTGAGTCACCACTTGCTGTGTCTGACCTGTAAGAGAGTAATTTGTGATAAGAAACACATTTCCAACATTTTAACCATTAGCACAGCAAACCTCTGAGTCACAACAACTTGCAATAATGTATAATCAGAGAAGCTTGCACATAAATTTTCTTTACAAACCATTTGTCTGTGTGGTTGACTGAAAAATATCTGCAAAATACTTTCTAGTTTAATTCAATTCACATACTTACAGAGTACTTCAAACACTTAGCTTGCCTTAAAAAAAAAGGCTTTCTCAATGCACAATTATCCTAAACTTTTTTGTTTGTTTTCAAATGAATGGACTTAAGATTTCCCAGTGTCAGTGATGAACAACACTGACAAAGCCTGCAACCAATACATTCAAAAGCCAGAGAAGGCACTTGCTAGAAGTATCAAAATGGAGTATTTTTGCATTGGGACATACGATACAGAAAGTATTTATGAAGAAACAAACCATGGATTTCACACTGGAAATTTAAATATTAAAATGAACCTACTGGCTGGAAGAATACCTTGTTGCACCACTACCGGTGTTCGAATGATGGTCTTTCCAAGCGTTGACTGCTGAAGTGGTGTCCGTATTACTGTCATACCAGGGCGGAGTGGTGTTCCTTGCACTACCTACACAGACCAAAAAGGAGAGCATATGTAAGCTTGTGAAAAAAGCCACTGGGTTATACCCTGAAGTTGTTTGGTTTTCTGTGGGGTTTTTGGTGTATTTGTTTGTTTTAAATGTAGTAAGAAATTACAAAGATGCAAGCAGATCGAGTATTTTTTCATCTATGACCACACTGCTAAGGCTTATCAAGTTCTAAACTATTAATTTTCCAATTGGAAAGAACTGTTGTACCTCCTTGGAATAGAGGATCCATAAACACTATTGCTGAACTATTGCTGAGATGAGCCAAAAACATTGAAAAGTGACTAGACAAAGAAAAAACTTTTAATACCTGCCAATAACTTAAAATACATGCACCTACATTTTTTGTATTAAATAATCAGAAAAATATCTTACTTGTGAAGTGCTTGTTGTTCCTAATGTCCCTGTGGTATTTGGCCTAATGGTTACAGTTGCTGTCCTTGGCTGGAATGAAGTAAATGTTTGACTTGCACCTGTAGTTGATGGAATGATACCCAATACTTTTTGCTGAACTTGAACAACACCTAATTAAAGAAAAATTGAGAATTCATTAATGACGTAATTGCTAGCAAAAGAAGTAAATGCAAGTCCAGGGTGGCATTTAGAAATCAGTCTCCAGGTTTCTAGAACACCTCTGAGTCTTTCAAGGTTTCTCGGGAGATCCTTTGTCATATTGTAAAAAGAAGCAGCATTATACTTTGTTGATAGTTCAACTACATTTTAAGTTAAGAAATAGGTATTTTAGAACAGCTTAAGGCTTTTTACAAAGATCAGTTTGATGGTAACTGCAAATAAGTCCTTGCATTGACATGGTGCCACAAATTAGTATTATACAACCATTAAAAGCTATAATCTGATTAAAGTGTAGGAGACCAGTTTAAACACCTTTCACCTACAAGCTTGTGGTGCTGAAGAAAATGGCTAATGCTCTTTCTGTCATCTAAGAAATTTCAATACAAAACTAGTAGCCTTCATGATTTCCTCAAATGCTAAGTATAATGGAGACAGATAATTGAGCTTTTCTGTTCAATATACTTTCACAAATCTCAAAATATTAAGCCCCCTTCTTGAGGCAAGAACTAAAAATGCTAATCTTAGTTTGGAGCCAAACTCTTGCTCATCAGTGAAGAGCAGATGTAGGCATTAATAACTAGGAACAGCAGCTTTTTTTCTTTTGTGAAGAAAGTTGTTTTGTTAATGTATAATTTAGATAATAAAAAAAAGCATGCTTCATTCCATATTGTTAAAAATAAAGCTTCTAATTTTGCACTATGAAATGCAGGATAATTTATAGGCAAAAACCTTGCATTTTTCCCCTATAGACACAAATATGCAATACAGGGGGAACAAGCTCTAGAAACTTGTATATATATACAAAAAACCATTTTTTCCCCCTTCAAGTCACAGTTTACTTCACTGGGAAAATAGTGTCAATGGAGAATTAATCAGCAAGTCGGAATACATTTTTAATTCAGTTCCCTTTCCCCTACCTCCTTGAGTTGATGGCACATTGACGGCAACAATCTTGCTGTTTGCAGGGAGTGGCAGCTTAGTTATCACTTTCCCTGCCATCGTTACTGGACTGCCTGAGATCTGGAAGGTCTGCCCTGTGCTGGCAATGGTTGTGGCTGAAGTGGCAGCTGTGCTAGTGGCTATTGAGGTACACAGAACAGTCAGTTTTAGAGCAGAATCATTAGTCAATGAAATGACTATTTTCAAGTACGAAACAGCATACTACAGGATTATTTTTACAATTATTTTTGAACGCGTCATACTTTCTTTGGAAAAGATTCTTTTTTGGAAACAGTATGTTACAGCATAGAATGCTTTCATTATCAATGATTACTAGTACAACAACTGTCAGTAATAAATGAGACAGGTCAGAAATAAGACTACCTATCAAGTCTGAACAAAGAAAAATTAAGACAGATATCTCAGAAATGTCCTGCTGACTTAGCAAGAGAGTTAAGAGCAAAGATAACAAGAAGTGTAATAATGCCGCATGTTCTGGAGAAGATGTAGGTGTAATATATAGGATAAACTCCAGTGCATGTTCTGTCCATGATAAATGGCTACTTACCTGTTGAAGATTGGCCTTGTTTAACCCAAGTAGCAAAAGTCTGGTGGAAATTCTTGTTCTGTTGGAATGTAACTGTAGCTGGAGAACCCACTTTTGTAGTAAGTACTACTTTGGTTCCAGTGGGGACTGGGCCCGCTAAAGGGCCTACCACAACTTTCTGTGGCGTTGAGACAGTAGTTGCAGTGCTGCTGGCTGTAGTGACTGCAGGGGCCACACCTGGTGCAGGTATCTGCTTCTGCTGTTCCAGCCGTTTCTACAGAATTTAGAAAAACAATTGAATGAAGGGTTAATTAACATTTTCAGATCTTGTAAAATAAATGCTGTCTCTTCCCAGCGTTGAAAAATAAAGGAGTCTGGTAGTATTTTAGTTCAAGTTGTAAAGGACTAACAAATAAGCTGCTTGCATACCCTACAGCACAAGACTCCTTGACCTACAGAACTACAACTCTGCTTATAGCACACAGCCAGAAATTTTCCTTTATGTTATATTATATATTATGTTATGTTAATATTCCTTATGTTAATTTCACTGCACATTTTACTTTAGAGAAAACTTATTAATTACTCCCAGATTAATCTGAGAGGTTAAAACACTTTGAAAAAAATCCATCTATATTTTTGGCCATGTGCATACAGCCCGTGTCTATGTCAGTAAGTGGCACATCATCATTAACACAGAGTTTATTACTAGCATTCCTAAGTTTAGAGCTGCCTGCACCGAGATGCTGCCAGTTACAGAAAAAAAGTGAGAGATGGTATCATTCTACTTCACCATTAAGAATGTAATTTTAAAAATTATTCTTTTAACTCTAAATCCAGTTTGCAGCCTGCTTAAAAAAAAACAAACCACAAAAAACCATGTTCAAAATTCCTTACCTTACTCAGCATCCTTCTGTGCTGTAACTACCAAGAAGGTACACTTCACTTTGTGAAGGGACAGTATCAGTAAGCTCTTTTAAAATTTCAACTGATCTAACATTCTTCCCTATGTTACTGGAATTATATCTGTATTTATTAATTTAAATTTCAGTGTTTGGTTAGCATTATATTGCGGTAATGCCTTCACTAGTAATGTATTTTCTTCAGTGAAGATGAAATGAAAAAGAAGTAAATTGGAAAAAACCCACAATTCTTACCAATGTATGTGACATACCAACACGGCATCGTGTTTCCTAGTTTTAATTGCATACATTTATATATACACACACACTTACATCTACACCTACATATCTATTTATACTTGCATGAAACTATCAATGGACTTCATTCAGCTAACTGAAGATAGGATATAATCAAAAGATTCAATTCGATTGAAGGACGAAGAACAAATGCAGTTGTTTTCCCAAGTCAGCTATACACAAAGGCAGCTCTCCACTACACCATACAACACTGTTGACCTTACCTGGACATTGGTGCTTCTCAAACTTCTTTTAAAATGGAAACAAACCAAACCTTTATAAAGTGTTATATAAATGAGGTGGAAAAAAAAAAGGCAATCCAAACCAAATCTTTGCCTTAACCGCGTTTCAAAATCATGAACGTACACAGTGGGAGTAGCATTGTTTGATGGCTTAGTTTGCACAGGAAGTGGAAACTATTTGAAAAATGGCGTAAGATAGGGATAAACTTTGTTTCCCATATTCTAATGCATGTGGACTACCAGTGCATAGTTGCTGACAGGTGGGACTACCAATAGCTCCCCCACCTGCTGGGCAGCCAACCGCTGGTGTTTTAGTTGAGCCTCCAATTGGGCCTTGAACTCCTCTGCCTTCTTCTGTTCACTAACCTTAGCCTGTTGTTCAACTGCCTGTGCCTTTTCCTTCTCCACCCTGCCAAAGACACAACCAAAAGCAAGTTATACCACCACATAAAATCCAACCATCAAACTGGATTTCATTTTATCCAGTTTAATTGCTCTTATAAGAACAAACATCAAGACTAAGATCACTGAAAAACTGGTCATGGCTTTAAAAGTATTTTGAAATAAACTACTGAAGTTGCATGCAACATCCCTGAAACATTCTGATGCTAAACTACTGCAGCACCTTACAGGAAACTATTAATCAAAACTGGAATTTATAATTACATCTGAGACTCCGAACAATCCATATAATACCATTAATTTAAAACAATTCTTTTCAAGAGACTCAAAAATGTTGTTCCAACTCTAAGCATGCAATGCTGAAAATATTCATTCTATGACTTGAACATTCTCAGGCTGAATTTACCTTTACTTTACTTGCACATATTCACTTTCTTTGCATTATTCAAGTATTTAAAATACATACTGTTTAAAGTCATGCCAAAAGTAGCCTAAAGCCTTTCCATCTATTACAGTAATAGCCTTTTAGCATACAACAGTGATTAGTTCATAAGCATGGAAAAGTTAATACAGTATTACTCCTAACAAATCTGTAAGATCTGCATAAATTGGTTTTGGTACCAGTGAATAGTTTAGCTTTACAAATTTAAGCTTGACTATCATTATCAAAAGGAACGGTAAAAATGCAACACAGATCTGCTTTTACTGATTGTAGCTACCAAGTTTGTGTTCTCTAGAGGGAATTTTTATTTAACATACACACACAAATTAAAACTGCTTTTTTTAAAAGCTCATTTGAGTTTGTTTACCTTTCAGCAAATGCCCTGATCTCCCACAGTTCCAATTCCTCCTCTGCTACCCAACTTTCAATTATAACAGGGCCTGTTTGCTTGGGTGTTTCTGGTCTTTTTGGCCTTAGTGCACTTGATCGCAGTCCCTTCCTCTGGGGTGTTGGAGTTTCTTTAGAGAACAGTCAAAATACAGACATTAAGCTCAATTGTAAAACAAAATTAAAGGGTAAACCAAGATTTAGCATTTTTTTCAGTCTCCTTTTATAAACACGAAGGCTTTTCAGCTTCAGATAAGTAATGTCAGTTTTTTAAATGCATCATTTGTTTTTCACAGGCAAATGAATAGTTCATGTCGAGCTATATTTGTTCCTTTGATGGTCTAAATTAACATAAAGATCCAGTTACCTTAATTTCTGTAGGAGCTTATGGGAAGGGCGGGGGGGGCGGGGGAAGTATAAACGAACATACCTTTTGGAGCCTCTGGTACACCAATGGGACAAATAATTTTTCTTATACAGTACTCTGACCGGATTCCATATGGGCCAACATCTCGTCGCTTAATTATTTCTGTTGTTGTAATTTCAGTTTCAGATGTTTCTACAAGAAAGTAGTCCCAATACATTAATAACAGAAAACAAACAAAAGCTAAATCTCCAATCAATCCAATATACTCCAGGTAAAGAAAGAGCAACTAGTACCACAAATTAAAAGCAAGAGCATTAAGAAAACCAGAAATTTAAAGAAATAATACCTGTACGTGTAGTTCCTCCCCCAGGTGGAGCTTTTGCTGCCATATCATCCCATTTGAGACAGGCCCACAATAACCGCAACATAAGGCTCACTCCAGCCAATGATTTTACTGTTTGAAGTCGGTACCTAACAACAAAGCGTTACTTATATTTTAAAATCAAAATGCATTTAAAATACCTAACCAAACCAATGGGACAAAAGTTTTCCATTCTACCTTTACTGAACAATATAGAAAATTATTGAATAATAAACAGCAAAATTTGTACATTTGGGCACAAACATGTGTACCACTTGTATTTTAAAATAAAATTAATTTCATCACATCCTAAACTTTTCCTAAAAAATATAAAGTATGTACCTCCAAGTGATCCCAAAGGTTGGCCTTGGGGATGGATATGGCCATATGTCCAAGGCAGGCTTTGCATTGTAATTGAAATAGGGAACTTCTCTGATCCCTCCTTTCCTGGCCAATTTTTTTAAGTCATCATTGGGTAAAACAAATATGCTTTTTTTACTGCTTTTGGTAACAAATTTTCTATAAGATGGTAAGGCAGTTCCAGAACGAGTTTTTTTGGGTCTTGCAAATTTCATTAACTTCACTTTGTCTTTTGTAGAATATTCTTTGCTGACAGTCATAGAAGTCACCAACGTGCCTTCTGGGGTGGTCAGTGAATCAGTTACTGTTGTTGTAACCACTGTTTTACTATGCTCTTGTACAGAAATGACATCAACGTTACTGTCTGTAGCTGGAGTGGTAAGCTTAGTTACAGTAGTGGTGGTAGTTACAGTGGATATGGCACAATTTTCTGTAGATGATACTACTGTTGTTTTCTCATCATTAGAAGCTACAGTCTCTGCAACTTTAAACACAGTTTTGGATTCTGTGGACACAGTTGATGTTGTGGTAGTCACTTCAGTAATAACAGTTTTTATTTTACTTTCTCCATTAATATTTTCCATTTTATATGTCTGTACACCATTTTGATCAGCAAAGTGACTACTCAAGCTAGATTCCTCACATGAGGTTACAGGCGATGGAGCAACTTTCTTATCCTCAATTACTTCAGTTTCCATAGATTCTGTTTCACTATTCAGCTTATTTTCTTTACAGACAGCATGCGTTGGCGTGGAAGCAGTGCCAACAAAGGCAGATCTCTCAGGAGAAAGCGGTTTTTCTTCAGTTTTCTGCACATACTTGGGAACTCCATCTGGTGGCTGAAGACCCTCTCCAGATTCAAACCCAGGTGAGCTCTGCAAACGTGACTTAAAGTCCACATTATTTTTGTCCTTTGTGTCCTCTATCATGATGTCACCATTCATGAATGGTTTCACTGAAGATTCCTTAAAAGTCAATGGTTTTATTTCATGTTCTGGAATGGATTTATTAATATTATTAACTTTTGGTTCAATATCACCCCCTGCCTTAGTTTCACAGGCATCTTTAACAAAGCAGTCATCATCTGATAATACTTTAACATCACTGTCTTTTCCGTTCATTTGAAATGCTGATTTTTCTTTTTCTAAGTCTGTCTCAGTTTCTTCATCTTTATTATTCTTTTTGTCAGAAACACTTTTTAGATTTGTCTGATCAAGACATTTGTTTATGGTGCCTGTCCCCACTTTCAGTTCCTGACCTTTCTTTTGACCATTAGCCTCAGTTAGTTTAGAGCTCAGTAAATCCTCATCAACTTCTACCCCATCCATGTGTTCCAGAGTTTGACTTGCAAGGTTTCTTTCAGAAATTAGCTCTGTTTTAAATGGTTCTAGATCTTTACTAACTGATTTTTGGTGAAATATAATCTTGTTTTCAGATTTACTTTCAGTCTTTACTGGAGCAATTTCTTCCTCCATTTCACTTTCTTGAGAGGACATTGGTTCAATATGGCTTTTTATCATACAATTGTTTTCTGGATCTTTGCTCTGCTGTTCAGAATTCCCTTCTGAATCTGTTTTTTCAAGAGTGGCCAGCGTATCTTTTCTACAGCTGTTTTCAGTTATCACTGGCTCTAAGTTTTCACATTCATGCTGAGATACTCTGGTAATAGCTACCTTTTGTTTCAAAGGTTCTTCGCTTGTTTCTGAAACATCCCATTTGATTCTACCTTTTGCTTTTGTTTGTTTCAAGCCATCTACAAAGGAACTCTCAGACTCCCCAGGAGTCTCTTGTCCTTGACACTTATCAGTCATAGGTTCAGGGTTGTTTTCTTTACTATCATTCTGAATGGAGCTTTCACCTTCTGAGGACTGAGGCGAGTCTTCATCCAGTAGCTGGCCTTCTCTTTTCGATAGCCTGTTTGTCAAAGGCAAAGAGGGTTCATCTAGCTCACCAGGTTTGGTACAAGAGATGCTGCTGATCGGCAAGCAGTCCTGTTCTGCATCTTCAGTTTGGCTCTTATCTGAAATATAGGTTTGATCTTGGGAAGACATGCCAAACTGGTTTCCTTCTTTTACTTTTCTCATTTGTAGCTCATCTGTGTTTTTCTGGGGGCTTACAGATCGAATGCCTACAGTTTTAGCACTAGCCTCCAGTTTCATCCTTTCTAGGCGTTGTTTTTCTTCCAGTGTAAACTGTTTTATTCGCCTCTCAAGTAGTCCATCTAATTTTGATGATTTTACTTTCCGTTTGTAGCAAGTCCTTAAATGAAATCCCTCGCTGACATTGATTATATCCAGCTTACAGTCACTATCCTCATCTTTTATGGGTGATTCAATTTTCACATCATCTATATCCATAGGTTCTTCCTTGATGACTTTATCATTTTCACCATTTTCCACTGTGAAGAAGAAACAACTGAATCAGTAAGCTCTCCTAACCACGAATATCAAACTACATTTTTACATTAAATACTAAGAAATAAATGGACCTTTTAGTATATTAATTGATTTCAAGAAAAAGAGAACAAAAACTTCAGATATTACTACAAGGAACAATAAGCAATCATTTAACTGAGACATTTTAAATGTCTTGACAAAATCTGTTACACAGTTTTTCAACAGTTATTTCTGAGGTCCTATGCTTTCACGCACGCAATGTTGTAATGAACAGCTAGTTTTACAATAACTTAAGTATATCACCTTTGTCTTTTGCATGATCTAAGTTTTCAGAAATTGTATCAACTTCTTTTCCTTCATGTGACTTTTCTTCTTTCACTTGTACTTTCTCTATGGTTTCTGAAACATCTGCTTTGTCTTTTGCTTGCGGATCATGAGAATCCTTTGTTTTATCTTTCTCTGTTTTTACCTTAATTGGACCTTTTCGTTTATCCAAGTTGCATTTTTCATCTTCACTCTTTGCTATTAACAAAATAATTAAATGATTTCAATTATTCAGAATATTTTTTATACTCTGCTACATTTTAACGTATGTTAGTTTACGTCTTGTATCATTCACACATCATTAGTGAAATTCAGAAACAGAATTAAGTATACAATGGTAACATCACAGATTAAGCTTAGTGAAATATTGAATTAAAAAAATATATCTAAAAGCCCACCAGAGATAAAATTGTTTCATTCACCTTATTTTTTTCAGGAGTCCATGTTCAGCATTTCTTACCCCCCCCCCATTTTCCAGGAAAATAAATACCACTTTCTGAAAAACCAGTCTATTAAGAGCGTATTAATTCAGACACTGAAAATTCACAAATAATTTTTAATAATTTTCATTTCTACAGTTAAGTTAGAATGGACATTAGTATTCAAATGACTCTGTGCTTAACGCTGTAGTGGCTATTAATTGCAATACAAAAAGAAAAATAATTCTAATTTAACAATCACATAGACAACACTAAAAGCAGCAGTACTCATTTTGTGCTTGATCCAGCTAAAAGCAACAGGGAAAGTATTACATCAATATGTGAGGAAAGAAATTATTTTGATACGTAATATAGGGTAGGTCACCATTTTATAAATTTTAAAAGGAAACTCAAGTTTAAATTTATTTTAAATAAGACTCATACAGTTCAGGATGCATACTAAAAGTCAACTGTGCAGAATTTTTTTTTTTTTAAAATATAAATCCTTGGAACAAATAAGCGAGAAGGTGTGTTTTGAACTTTCTAGAGAAATAAATTTTTCCCCCCTTACAAAACTATTGTTCCCTGATAAAATTGGTTAATAGTATTCTGTCAACATGGAGGTGGGGGGGAAGCGTATATATACGCCAATATTTTAGATGTTACTTTTCTCTTGTGATTATCTACGTCATTTTTATCTACCTTTAATTTACATAAGGCTATGCAAAGCTGTACAAATACTACACATGACTTCATAATTGAAACAATTTAACGTAGCTAAAAAATGTCTATGACAACTGAACTGATTATATTGACAAAGATTAGCAGATATCCACAAAAGCTTCTCTGGAACACTATTTGTAACAAAGTCTACATAAGAAATATCACATGCAAATGATCAACTGAACAGGCAAAAAAAAGCAGTATGTTAGTAATTAAAGAAAATGTAAGCAATGCAGACACTTACTTGGTAACAACTTTCTGTAATTTGCATTAGTATTTCCAGGTAGCTTGGGCATAAACCTGTGGACATGTGTTTTACTAATCCAGCTCCAGCCACCATATCCTGTTACTCTATATTCCTCTCCTTTTTGCTTCCAAACCTGTTAAATATTTTTAAAATAGTAGTTTTAATGGTGCTATTTGCTGCGTTAATGCATACATTCATTTAAAAGCCTAAGATGATTTTTTTAAAAAAATAAAATTTACAGACTTCTGCAAGTTGAAATATATTTGTGAAATATCATACTGTCTAAAATTAAAGATATATCTGCTGATAATTACATTGATTCTATCATAGTAACATCTAAAATCCATATTTATTTCACGTAGCAGTGAGAATCTATTTCTGTAAGAGCTGAAAGATTATACAAGTTTTTGAATCAACCCATTTGTTACAATAAAAAAATTTAGAGCAAAAAACCACTCCAACAAAAGTATTTAGTATCTTCTGCAGAATACAAAGAGGTTTCTATAGTAGTTCCCATCATAATATATAACCTTCCAAAGCAAAGGTAGCTAGGGTAGATTTTTTTCAGTGGGGGGGAGCGGGGATGGGAGGGGAGCACTGGACAGGGACAGACATACAGACCAAGATTCCAATAAGCACCTAGAACCTTTCCATTAGGAAAGGCTGTATTTTGCAGACAAACATCTGTCAACTCAGGCAGTGTCACTAAGAGCATAATACATGTCAAATTTAGTTCAGACCAAGATTATGTGCTTGAATACGTGGGCATGGTTCCTACTCTAATGGCAGGGAGCAATGCAATGACATTAAATTTTTTTCATTTTAAATGAAAACAGAAAAAGAGTAAGGTAAGAAAACAACAATTTCTGTATTTTGTTTGCTCTTCACACAAAAGAAAACCTTACCTGATGTTTGACAGGAAATGTATATTTCACCCATGTAGCTTGCTGCATTGTTTCTTCTTCTTCTTGTTTTCTCTCTTTTTTTTTCACTTTCTCCTTTTCTTCTCTTTCTATTGCTGTCATTCTGCGTAATCTAATACATAAAGATTTAAGTACATTCAAGTACAGGATCTTGTAAGCAAATATAAGTCATCAAACAACAGCATATACTAGCCCTTTGAATAATTTTAACTATCTGAAGTCAAATGGGATGCCCAGTATCAGGTTGTATGTATTACTTGCAACAGGAACACTATATTTTTTGGGCTATTCCAGTAAGGCAGACACAGCTGCCTGCAATCGTGTCTAACATCAGACACATCTAATTTCTGCTTCTCACACAATGAGAGACAGAAAACAGACTCCACTGAACTGAGTGTGTTGAAATTTGCTGTTCTAGTCTCCCAAAGTCTTATCACTTTGAGACTGGCTCAGATAAAGAAAACAAACTTGCTTTACAGAAGCAATGACACTATAAAAATCTTGTATTTTCAGTGTTTCTGGTTGAGAAACAACACTTCAACGGCTAAATGACTGACTAAATTTAAACATAATTCTTCTAGGCCTAGAGGAATCAGTAATTGTAAAACAAAGTTCTCACATTCAAAAAGACTTTTATGTTTATCTATTTTACCTAGTGTGCCCCAACGATTCCCGCCAGATTGGTAGCATGACAACGGGTTTAATTGCACATTCCAATATAGCCAGCGCTAGTGCAAATTCTCTAGGTTTGCTGCACATCTGAACAGCCTTAATCCAGTTAGACCTAAATTGGAAAAAAGATAAAAACCTGAAACATATATATGCACTAATATAGCATGCTATGTTAATAAGATTTAATGGTAGGATAAAACCTCCTATATTTTAGTACTTTACTCAAATGTGCAACCCTTTTAGCCACCCATCACAAACCACCCATCTTATCTTACATTTTAATATATTGAAGCATGGTGGTTTGAAATCACTGATTTGAAAAAACAAATACCATTGTCTATTAATTCTGTTACCAAAAATACAAGTAAAACAAGAGAATACATATTTTCATTTATTAATTTACCTGTGGGAAGCCCAGTTAGGGTGAAGGAATGATGCCGGGATATTGTTTTCTAGCTGAATAATAGTTAGCCTCAAAGTAGATATGGTAAGAACTTTGGACCCATGTACAGACCCATTCCATTTGAACTCTCCAGCAGGAGTCAAACAGAATTTATGCGAGAGATGTCGTCTCTTGTCATGATCCTCCCTGTGCTGGTGCTTGTTCAATGCGAATGAATTAGTGGCATACTGATTATGATAAACACGATACTTCCCCTCCTGCCCTAATTTGAAATAATTGTTGATATTTCCTTTCATCACAACTTCCTTCTTTGTGTTCATTCGGGAGACTTCACCTTGAGAGTTGACCACCAGAACCTTGGGAAAGAAAGATTTATTTTAAAAATTCACTTAAGGTTCAAATATTTCTATTTCCTTATTCACGATTTAGGTTTCAATTGTCTACATATAAAACATTAAAAATACCTTGCATCAGTTTGTAGAAGCAAATAACTCTTTACTTGATATACTAAATATATGTACTTCATCACTGATTGTATACAGAGTTAGGATATTTCCAAAGATCAACTTTAACATTAAAAAACCTGCCATCCAGGCTCCTCAGGAGTCAAATAGGAACTTTTTGCTGCTCTGAATTATGCCTATTGAGGGAGATAGCTTGGGGAAGAGAGCTTCACTAAACTTAAGTAAGCTTTCTGTGAAACCCCTCCTTGGTAAATCACAGAATTCATACATGTAGCTACGCAAACAAGTATCTTTGACTTTGAAAACATGGTCTGGATAACATCAGTGGTCTAACTACCCATAACCGAGCTCCAAATTTGAGAGGTTTGTGAATAAATATGCTGAATGCTAACTTACAAGGAAAACCAGTTAACAACAATAAAATTAATACACCAAACAATACAAACACACACAACTAACCAACAAACTCTTAACATTCAAACACTTCTTTCCTGGAGAAACTGGGCTACTTAAAAAACCAAAACCAAACCACCAAAAAACCAACAAACAGCCATACAAAAATTTATACCAGTGCACTGGGTCACCATCATGCCACTCTGTAGATAGCAACTAAGAGAGCAAGAGCAAAGGAGGACGAGGAAAAAAGCTTGCCATGATATTACAACTTTTTTTAAGTATCTCCACAGTCTACCAAAACCACTTTTTTATTTTTAAAAAGATTATCAGTTTTCTAAAACAGTTTTCGTACTTCTTTGAGTTTTCCAAGATGTGCACAAACCTCTCTGCCTTCTTTATATAACTTATTTGCTTCATGTGCTGCAGCAGCAACCTGCTGGCTTTTCATCTGGCTCAACTTGCTATCTGGATTTCGTAATCTTGTGAGCATTCGCGTCGAACCTGGCGTGCCTTTTCCTGCGCCTGGAGAATCACTTCTTTCACCATTAGATTTCTCTCCTGCCCAGGAAAAAAAAGCTTTTAAAACAAAGTTAAAAATTGGAAGTTTTCTATTGATGTATAGGAGTTACAAGGTAAAAAGAAAAGATGCATAAAATGAAAGTTAGAGACACTATTATTACCTATGTCCTCTGAAGTCTGGGATCCCCTCTCTGCATTTTCAGCATCATCAGATGTCTTAATGGAGTCATTCTGCCCAGAGCCCAACTCACTACCGTTGCTGTTTTCAACATCTGACTGTAGAGGTGCAGCTGATGCACTGCTACTGTTGCTAGGGATCATCTGACCAGTTTCTTCTACAAAAGAACAACTTAATTTTTAGTTTTTAAATTGGATCAATGCAATTTTTTTGAGTTTTAAAATTTTCATCAAAAACATATTTTCCTGGACTAGAGGGAAACACCCATAAAATATTAATTCCCTCCATAGCACTGTATCCATGAAAGTATTTTTTGTTCCATTTCAAGCAGTTTCAACTTTCACAGTTCTGAAGAACTGAAATTCATACTTGGATGAAATATATTAATTATTTTAAATACAAGACAATTTTTTTCTATAGATGGACACAGAGACAACTCTCTACTGAGACTTCGTTTTGCTTTCAGAATGCAGATTATATGAAATTTGGTCTTCCTGCAGCTTCCATGATTTTATCTCTTTTGATTTTCCCGTGCTTTAGCTGTTCCTCAAAGCATAAACCTTTCAGTTCCCCTCCAGTTTTCCACTGAGTCTTTGATTGTCCCTTCTTCAGCACATTCATTCTGAGGAATCCCACAGATTTCAGTTCAATTGGCACTACTCTATACCTAAACTCCTCCTCTGCAAACTTAAAATATCACCCTCTTTCTTACAATCTGATGGGTCTCAATGTTGCTTCAATCTCAGTAAGACAAATGGGTTCTTAGTCCTCAGTTGTACTTGTTACTGTCTGGCTTGACAGCTGTGGACATTATTGCTACCTCACCTGTTGCTAAGGCGTACTGCCGAGTATGGCCTTTCGACTAAAGCATCAGTGAATTGCAGCTACGTAGAAATAAATCACTCCAGCTTCCCAGTAAGAAGAAGCCACTGTCCCTCAAAACAGCAATGTCATCTTCATTTTGTGGAAAAGAGACACAGCTTAGTTGTTTAAAAAAATACAAGTTTTTTTGTTTCTAGAATTCTTCCAAACCACCAGGGATTCTGTTGTTATTGAGAAAGGTGACACAATAAAACCTCCTTTTTGTGAAATACTCACTCCTAGCAGAAAGACGATTAGGTAAATATTCTGGGATTCTTGGAAGATCCCTAACCTGAATGCATCTTGATTTCTGGCTTTGCCAAGTGGGTGACCATCACTATTCGATCCATTTCCGTTTTGACCAAGAGGAAAAATGGAACTATTTGTGGTGCTTGCTGTTTGGAGGAGAATGGAAGCACCCAAACTAGACTCTTACTAAAAGGCTAATATCCAAACTGCATTTAACAAGGATGGTGTCAGACATTCTCATCTAGCTTTGCATTTTACTTTTATTTTCCCCTTCTTTGGGGGTAACTGTCTCACTGATTCTGGTTCAGTATCTCTCCCTCCCTCTGAAATGAGGATCTCAACCTGAAATTTCATAATAGGAACACCAGTATCGCTATGAATATAGTAAATTACACGTGAGGAAGAACCCTCTCCACACACACATACTTTCCTACAAAAAAAAAGCCCACTAATTTAAAAACAAGCTAGAAGCTTTGGAAGGAGAAAAGTACCTGTGAAAGTATAATAGAGAAATAATGATAAATATCTAAGTGAATCTTAAAAATAAAATATGAACCCATATGTGTCTGGAACAAAGTTATAGGATATGTATCTTTTCCATCCATTAAACCTCTACACAGTTATTTTAACTTTAAAATGGAATAAAAAATATGAGAATAGGCAAAAATATTTAGTCAAATATCTAAAATATATGCTTTTTGTCCCATGCACTAGAACATTTTCTGTATTTAAAAAAGTGTATTATGAGGCTTCCAGATTAATCTTAACTTCTATTTTCTTCTCCTATTAACAAAGTTTATTACAATGTTTGGATGCATTCACATTTGCAAGTTCAAGAACTGCAATCTGTATCTGAACGGAGAACTATTTCTGTAGGAGAGAAAACATTTACTACCATTTTTTAAAACGTAACACACTAAATATGGCTACATCACAGACTATTTTCAGATTTTTAAGAACTGAAAATAAAACTGATCATTTTAACAGTAATCAGATGTTTAGAGTAACATTTGGTTATATAGAATTATATTCCATTACAAGCTTTACTAAATGTAATAGAACATAATTCTAAAATAGTACACTGATATTTTATGTGACACCTAATCAAGTTCCATTTATTCCTAAATTGAAAGTTTTTGTTTGTTTTTAAATTAAATAGTGTACATTACTACTTTTGAATCACTGACATGGCAGAACAAAACACATTCAAATACAAGAGCCTCTGTGCTTATAATTCTGAAATTGGTTCAAAATTCCTAGCATGACAATTTTAATCTTGACATTTCAGTGCAATGGTTTACTCACATGAATGAAAATATTTTGTTTGTTAGTAATTTACACAGTAAATGCGAGGTTAAAATAATAAACGAGCCAGCAGCAAATTAGAATTTGAAATAAACTTTGATAGGATGCTAATGATCATTATGGATCACTATGGAAAAATAAAATATACAGAAAATATAACATAAAAAGCTTAGCCATAGTCATCTTCGGAAGGCATGGAAACAAACGCTAATGTCACAGAGGACCACAAATTTCAAGCACTAGTTGCAGGAAAATTAACTTTAAAATTAACTTTGAAATGTTAATGACAACGTAGCAGTAAAGGATGGCACTGCAAGCAAACAGCATGAGTGATATACGCTGTGAATGGTTTTAGTGGACAAACCAGATAGAAAAACTTAACAGATTCCCCAAATTATACAGAGGCATTGGTAACAGTGCCTTCTGTACCTGAGAGTTCCTGAGGGAGCTCTGATGCCACCTTCTTCTCTGCCATGTTGTTGCTATCAAGGGTTTCTGACTGACACCCCATTGCGTTCTTCCCTTCAGAGCAACTAGTCTCTCCTGCAGAAGGATTTGTGTTGTTGTCATCAGTGCTTGATGTCACAGAGTTACTTTTATCCCCAACGACTGTTGCCTCTACAGTAAAACGCACAACAAAACTTTAGGGATATTCTTTTAGTAAGTCTTAGGATGTAATTTGGCATCATCCATAGAAAGCAACTTCAGCAGCTTTGTTTGTCTGTTTGATAATGCTGGAAAACATCTGAGCTTTTTCCTTTCCTTTTTTTCTTCTTTTGCTATGAGATAATATTGTCTCAAAATCAAAGAACAAACTAATTCCAATGAGAAAAACAATGTTAAAAATGATGTAATATTGCTTCCTACAAACATGCTGATCACAACCTGTAAGTGCCACCTGTACCTCAAGCCAAGGTATCTACAAGCTAGCTGTATTTAACTTGAAAAGTAGAAAAATTGGTGAAATTACTTAACAAGAAAAACAATTACAATATACAACCACAAAGGAACTGGCAAATATCAGCTATTACTTAAAAAGTAACTTAGAGAATCATACAAAAAAACCTTGCAAAAATTCACATTAACACTTAAAGAAATCTCAGAATCTTAACTAAAGATTTACTTCACTTAAATGAAGTTGTTAAAGCACAGTCATAGCTTCTTTACCTTCTGTTTTCACTTTTTCCGCATCTTGCTCAGTGGGCGTTTCATCAATTTTCTCTCGCTCTCCAGACTCTTCCTTGTCTTTCTCAGCATCTGTCTGATCATTATCAACGTCACTTTTGGGCTTTTCTGCTTCATCATCTGCTGTGTTTTTATCTTCCACTATTTCTCCTTTTCTTGCTCTGATAATGTCCAAAATTTCATCTACAAGAGAAAGTATGTTGTCATCAATAAGCAACAAACCACCACCGAAAGAGCCACGGAGCTGAAATAATGTGACATAAATACTGCTTCTTTTCAATGACACAAAAGAGAACATCCAACTTCTTCCCACTTCTTCCCCACTTAGAGGAAACAATGCCAAAGATTTAATTATTGATTTCTCAGAGTTATGAATTTATATAGTGATGACTTAAATCCATTTTTAAACCTGAGTATCTAATCTTCATGTCTTCCCTAGAACCAAAGTTCAAACCTTCACGGATTTATATTGCTATGTATTGTTCCAAGGTAGATAAATTCAGTTGGTGGGCAACTGCAATGAGATATGCATTCTTCCACACTTTCCATAATATTGGAGCAAATATTAGAGCTCTAATATTTTTGCTACTCCAACTCCCACTGGACTGTAAAATGTTTACGAGGAGGTGGTTTTTATATATAAACACAAAGTACATCAAGAAACACTTAACAGTTAACATCGCTCCACTCCAACACCTGGAATGATCACAATCTGGCACATCCTAAGCATATCAAGAATCCAAATCATTCAGGACATCCTGGAACACATGATACATAGTCCTACAAGAAGTCATAGTCATGCTGGTATACCTGCATGATGCTTCTCCATCAACTTCTATAAACTTCTTATAATAAAATAAACTAGTATTTGATTCAAAGTGCAACATCTATTCCCAATAAACAAAACATTCTTACCATTTGCTGCAGAAAGGAAAGACTTGTTGTTGCCCCTTGCTTTATTAGTAAGGTCTTCTGTCACATCCATGTGCCGATGAATTTCTTCACGCATTTCTTCCAGAGTTTTGCATAGGTCAACTTCCCAGTAATCTTTGTCTAGGCATTCTATTAACTCTGCTAGCTGTATCTTTGTGCTATAGTACCAGATTTTCTTATCCTTCTCAGTTTCTGAATCTTCCTCTCTGTAAAAGTATTTTAAAAAAAATCTTAATTTTAAAATATATGGATAAACGACAAAAATTAGTATCAGCCTACTTTTTGCAGAAAACTATTAAATGCCAATACTTGAGTGTCAATAAATAAACCACAGGAGGACACTCATATGCACCTAGTTTAGTACCCAAATACTCCCCTCTCATAAAATTTTTAGGTTGGAAAAGACCTTTAAGATCATTGAGTCCAACTGTTAACCTAGCACTGCCAAGTCCACCACTAAACCATGTCCCTAAGCACCACATCCACATGTTTTTTAAATACCCCCAGGGATGGTGACTCAACTGTTTCCCCTGGGCAGCCTGTTCCAATGCTTGACAACCTTTTTGGTGAAGAAATTCTTCCTAATATCCAATCTAAACCTCCCCTGGTGCAACTTGAGGCCAGTTCCTCTTATCCTATCACTCATTACTTGGGAGAAGAGACCAACCCCCAGCTCACTAAAAGCTCCTTTCAGGTCGTTGTAGAGAGCGATCAGGTCTCCCCTCAGCCTCCTCTCTTCCAGGCTAAACACCCCCAGCTCCCTCAGCTGCTCCCCATCAGACTTGTGCTCCAGACCCTTCACCACCTTCGTTGCCCCTCTCTGGACATGCTCTACCACCTCCATGTCTTTCTTGTAGTGTGGGGCCCAAAACTGAACATAGGATTCGAGGTGCGACCACCTCACCAGTGCCAAGTACAGGGGAACGATCACTGCCCTGGTCCTGCTGGCCACACTATTTCTGATACAAGCCAAGATGCATTGGCCTTCTTGGCCACCTGAGCACACTACCGGCTCATATTCAGCCAACACCCCCAGGTCCTTTTCGCTGCCACTTTCCAGCCATTCTTCCCCAAGCCTGTAGCGTTGCACAGGGTTGTTGTGACCCATGTGCAGGACCCAGCACTGAGCCTTGCTGAACCTCATACAACTGGCCTCGGCCCATTGATCCCGCCTGTCCGGATCCCCCTGTAGAGCCTTCCTACCCTTAAGCAAATCAACACTCCCACCCAACTTGGTGTTGTCTGCAAACTGACTGAGGCAGCATGCAATCCCCTCATCCACTGTTGATAAAGACATTAAACAAAACTGGCCCCAATACTAAGCCCTGGGGAACACCACTTGTGACCGGTTGCCAACTGGATTTAACTCTATTCACCACCACTCTTCGGGCCCAGTCATCCAGCCAGTTTTTTTACTCTCACTTCCCTCCCTTTCTTCATCCCCTCAGAAGTTCTCATGACAACCTCCTCAGGAAAGCTTTAAAAGACTCGTCTTAAAACGGGTTTGTTCTATCTGGCAGCAAGGTTTGTTCTCATCATATTTACTATTACTGTAACCAGTAGTCTACCACTAAGTCTCAAACAATTTGCAGTGAAAGAAGGTATGGCTCCAGAATCTATAAAGGGTAGTGTTTCTGACTGAATATTCAGGAAACAGCAAGGTTAGAAAATTAAAAGCTTAGAATGTCACATTCATAAAGTATTTTATATTAGCATCTCTACAGCATTCACCTGTGATAGCACCAGTAAGGGACAAAAGAATCATAATATAATCCTTTGAAAAGATCAAGGGATTTCCACATCTTTTATCTTGGGTGCTCCATGACACCACAAGCCTAGACAAAGCTACTGGACCACCACAGTGGCAAAAGCATCTCAATAGGGCAACCAGACCCAAGCAAGCTCCATAAATATCTCAGGTAACAAGCTCTCCCAGAGTGCTGGAGAGCATAAGGAGGATGCTGCAAGAGGTTCTGCAGAAGGCTGCTTGATTTCAGCTTGGCTTGGTAGGTCCTGTTCAGCAGCAGCAGACAGATCCAGGCTGGCTGTGGGCAGGACTGCTCATTTCTGCAACACACCCTAGCACTCCCAATACGGTGAACACTGTATGGGGTGACATAATGATTTATCAGCCTGGCCCTCACATGTGGAAGGGGAGTTAAACCATCGCTACACTTGCATTACCTGTAAAAGCATTACAGACCTACGGCTCGCTAAGAATCCTAAACCAAATTGTTGATAGGAATGGAAAGCTGACTGTAGTTTGAAAGATCTACTCTCGTACGGTTTGTTGTGTGTTCCTCTCTACTGGCTGTCTCCACATGGCTTATACATAAAAGACAGTAAAAATTGGCCTCACGTGTTCAGAAAGCCAAACAACTGTAAGGCAACTTGATCGTCATCTATCTGTTATTTTCCACATTGTATTTATGAAACTGTAGTATTTGCAACTTATTCAGAATACTACTAAAATAATGTGGTTACAAAGTTAATAATTGCAATATTACTCAAAATTCAACTACTAACTTGTCACAACCATTACTACAAAACAGACTTTTGGTTTTGATGATAAAACCTGGTATATTGCAAAGAAATACTATCACTTCTCTCATAAAGGCCTTTGCTCTTGAAAAGCAACAACTCTACTTTACCCATTTACTCCTCTAGGCTACCAGTAACTTTCCATTAGTTTTAACAAGTTAGCACGGTTAAGTTTGACAGGTTTTCTCAGAAAACAGTTCATTTCAGGAAGACTGCCCACATACTGCACATCAAAAAGTAATAGCTGAACATTGACAATGGTTGGACTCTATGGAATGTTCTATGCCTGCAGAGTTTCATGTTAAAGAAAAATTACTATTTAAACCATGTTACCTCTAAACCAAGAAAGTTATTTACTAACAATACCAGGAATGGCAGCACCTTTATTATTATTATTTGTGAACAAATCCCACAGAAAAGGAAGATAAAGGCAACCACCCAAAAACAAAGAAGGAAGAGGAGATGAGAATGCAAGAATACAGCATTATACAGCAAGAAGAAAGAAAACAATGACACAAAATGCTTAACTAAAAAGGACAGGGAAAGTATGCCTTCTGAATTTTCCCTGGCAAATATCCAATGGAAGTGGTGACAGCAAGACGCTGGCAGAGCAGTAATTGTAAGGCTGCTCTGCTCCTTACAAACACGACTGCAGAATATAATGCTGTTGCTAAGTTTATACTTGAATTATTTCTTAAGTCACCAAAAAGGGAACTTTAACCTTTCATTTTGACCCCCCTAGCTCATTACACGATTAATTGGTAGATAGATATGCCATTTATACATCTCCTTACATGACCTAGATATGCCAATAAAACCCAGAGGCACACTGTGAAGAATCAAGACACTAGACCACAAAGAGAGTATTCTGTTGAAGGCACCTAGAGCTCATCTTTCCATGTGTGATTCCAGTCCTACCCATTAAAGAACTGCTCAGATAATACTCTAGAAACGGACAATAAAGTTACCCAAGAGTATTTTATCTCCCTTCTACTTCATTTATATAGAGTTTTGAGCATAGAATTTCTCCTGAATTGAAGGCTACCACGACCTTAATAACAGAAGTGCAGGAATTAAGAGTTTTCTCTTGACAAAAGCACAGGCAGAAAATAAAATGGCACAAGCTTGCTGTTATGTACGCTTACACGAAACCCACCTTTGGTCAGACTTCTCAAGATTCAGGTGTATGATAGTCGAAGCCTTGGAGTGCTCATTACCAACTCACTAACAGTCAAAGAACTACAGCATAAATCATTCCATGAAATCCATTTTGGCAAAGTTAGTTAAGATTTAAATTAACAATTAGAAGACTTAAGCTAACTTTCCCTGAACACCTTCTTGCATTGGCTAAAGGGATACTTATTTTACCCTTTGAAGAAATCATAGAGGCTATCATAAAAAGAAGATGGAAAGATGCAAGTCTACACAGGGACCGATTCCCAATGTTTTTCTCTGACACGCCGGACAGATCTGCCAGCTTGGTGCTGGACAGGTCTGCTCAGTCTCCAGGGGACTCGGCTGAGTCACATACATTAAGTGAGGCCAAGTAAGGGAGAAAAGAATCACATGAATATTTCCTACTTCTTTCAGCCTCCTTCGCTGCCAAGAACTATTCACTGGCAGGCTTCAGAGGGAAGTTTTAAGACTGATAAAAATGACAGCACAGAAGATGCTAGAAACTTTCAAGTAAAGTAATAATAAAGTAGATACACTCCCTCCTGAATTCCATGCTGATACAATTAGAAACTGAAGAATTAAATAAATTGTTTAAAGTAATTATTCAAATGAAGACCCAAACCCTTTTCAATTAATTGGAGAAAACAGAGGAGGATCCACTAAGAACATAAAAAGCATGACAATTCTTGCAGAAAAAAATCTGAAACTGTTTTTGACCATCGAGGAAGATACATACAATTCAGGAGTAACAATTTGCGTCTTATTTCTGCTATCAAAATGAAAGCCAAACAATGTTTCATTATCTTCTTTCATAGTCATTTCACAAATCGAAAGCATTTCAGTATTTCTAGAAAGGTAACTTGTTAAAAACACTGCAGCAGTTTACTAGGAGAATGCAAGTCAAAAGTACTAAATTTCCTGACTTGTTAACTTGCAGAAATAACCTTCACAAGCAAAACACGTGCAACTGACCCAGAGAAATCATCCTAAATTTGTGAACAGCTTGAAACAAAAACTCAGGAATCAATTTTCTCTTGCCTTTTTTTTAAAAAAAAAAATCTTGCTGATACTTGCTCATGGGGATGTATGAGGGAAGACCTCTTCAGTGTCCACTTTTCCATCTTTGTAAAACAGAAGAGATGGGAAAAGAGAAACAAAACCACAGTGATGGGCTTAAATAAGGCTTATTACCCTCAGCAAGTGCTAAGTATGGAAATAAAAGTATCAGTGAACAACAACAAGCCCACAAAACCCTTTAAAAGATGGGAAAACCAATGGTATAATGGATTTGTAACATTTACAAAGGGAGAGGGGATAAGAAGTAAAAAGCCCTAAAAACCCCTTCAAAAAACAAAAATATGCAGGAATTTAGGATTTCAGTTCTCTAATCCCCCTGGGCAAGATTTCAAATTGGTGTTTGTGCACATTATTTTTAGATCTATTTGTTTCCTCTGATATATTTGATCACATGGCATTGGTGAATACACTCTATTCATTTTAATACAGTTGATATGATAGTATCATTTAACTAATCTCAGGTTTTATAATCTGGTAGTTATCCTTTAAGTTATCCTTCCATTATCCAAGATAACAGGTGTGGATTGATCTTGGTTCAGTATATACATGCAAAATGGTTGGTTTTGCAGTACAGAATACTTACTGAATCTAAAGGACAGTAAAAACTGAAAGTACACAGTTTAATATCTATGTGAATTACTGAAGTTGTATTTCCCTGGAATTTAGTTATGTAGCAAATACTTTTGGCCCCTTATGAAGTGGTTTTAGCATAAAGTTTTAAGTCACATTATGCATAAATTTAATTATGTCAAAGTTCTATGAAAAGTCTAGAGGAACTAGCTGATTCTGTACATCCCACACGGCACTGTTAAAGAGTACCACTGCTACAGATCTACCAGAACAACTGTCTATCTGTTTTTCCTTCTGATTCCATTAGGAGGATTTGAAAAATTTTTAATCCAAACCACTTACTTCAGAAAGAACTTGTTTTGGAAGCATGCACAGGTACATTTACACTAGCAGAAGGCATGATACTAATGGCAACAGGAAGGATTTTTTTTGAAAGAGTCTTTCAATCTAGATGATCTGCATGAGAATATGAAGAAAAGTCAGGGAACAATAAATGGAAGAACTGCATTTCTTCTTATCTTCGTAAACATAAAAATACTTTTCTATTTACGTTTTGAAATATTTTAATCACTAACAAAAGATCAGTAAAATGGAAAATCTAATGAAAATTTTCCTTTGCTGTATTGTTTACAGTTCTCATCATTTTTGATTTGAAATGGAATACTGATGTATTTTATCTTTAAATAAATCCCAATTAAGATATAAAATTTACATTCATAAAACCTGATTTATGATTTCTGAAACAAATAATTTGCCCACTGAACTCCTAACAGGAATGCAAAATCATTTTAAAAAAAATCAACACATTTAACCTTTGAAGATGTCTTTTCTAGTGCAGTTAAAATCACTATCAATGTGTTAGACAGAAAGAACTTTCACATGTGTAGATTTCAAAGGATCAAGAAGCATCTGCATGATTTTAGTTTAAGGCATGTTGAAGTACTGCCTGTATCAAAACCTTCTGAACATCAAATATTCCACTTCATTGGGAGAAAAACATTGTTTCACAGATGAAGTTTAGTAAAAAATAATTACCAATATGCCTACATATTGGGGTGAAAAAAAGCCTGCCTATTTATCTTAAAATCACCTCCTGAATGAGTGAATCTGGATTTTTTTAGTGTTAATTCCCAGACCTTGAATGGGAAGCAGAATATAATTGTTCCATCAGTACAGTAGAGCAGTGAGACAAACCCATTTTTAGAAGCAACTTTTCCTCAAGAGTTTGAAAAGAAAGATACAAAGCCCATGCACAGAGGAGACTATCTGTAAGTTATTAAAGCACAGGTAACTAGAGCAAAAAGAATATCAGTTACATGTCCTTCACAACCAGGCTTTTTGTGAAAATCAAACTTTCAACTCATTTTCTGGAAATGAAGGTAGAAAATTATGTATGAGGCAATGGAAGAATTAGGATATCAGCAGCTTCAGGCTGACCATCATATCCTGCTAAACCATTTGAATGATACACCACATACTGTAGAGCATGTGATTGAGTATAAACATAGAGTATAAAAAAAAAAGATGAAGAGTACAAAAGATTCCCTGCATCTTTTAACAGATTACTTGATACTACTGTGGCATTTATAACCCAGAGAAACTAAAAATAATCAAATATGGACTCTTTTTTTACAAGTGTGAAAGAAGAACACAGGACACAAAGAGCAGTGATAATTAATTCTTAAAGCATCACCTAACAATACATTAGAGAAAGAGTACTATATTCTAAAAGACTAAAACGAGTCCTTAGAAATGCCTTGTTTGCAAGATGCAACGCCATCAACAGTCCTCACAATCCCTTTTGAAGACACTGTCTAATATCTTAACGTTCACTGTAATCTGTTTTGTATGAAATTTTGTATGAAATTTGTATGAAATATGTTAAGGTATCCAGCTGTGGCTTGTTTTCTCCATAATACTGAATGCAAAACTGTATGTCAAGAAATCTAGTAAAAGCTATTTTTCCTAAATTAACAATATCATTGATTTCACTTAAATACTATTTCTCCTCCATTATGAGAACAACTACATAAGAACAGTCTTTTATAAGAAAAAAGTCTGTAGCTATTTTCCTGGGAAAAATGCAGAAGTATTTTTATAATTTCAGATTCAACTTTTCAGGTAAAAAAACAGGGCGCAACAGCCTCACTAACAAGAGTTTGATTATTATTAATGTTTTGAGATACATTAGTATCTCAAGACCAACCAGTAACAGGAAATTATGTTAAACATACAAAGTAGATCGCTTGAAGACAGGTATTTCTTGCTATTTTTACTTTGTTTATACCTATAGAAGTGTTCACATACAATATTTTCTGCATTTCTAGTTAATAGATATGGTGGATACCTTTGAGTACCTCTGAAAGTCTCAGCTTCAAAGGCAGATCATCAAACCAGTACCAGTATCTAATAGCCAAATACTATCTAAGCAGGTGACAGTACACAAAACTAGTATCCTATACACCATGTGATCACAAAGAGAGTCAAACTACTTGTACAAAAAAGTGGAGAGTACTCCTTAAAATTCACTTTCTTTTCCTCACATTCATGTGATTTAGGCACATTAATATTAAGCCGGAGGCCCTTTTTTTTTCTATCCCCTTTTATGTATGGGTTATGAGAATATTTATTTTGGAGAAAATTAATGCATTAATTACATGGCCTTTAGAAATCTACTTACAAAACAGCAAGCAATGGTCTTATTTAAAGAAAGAACAATTTTAAGATGGCAACAGCAACTTACAGGATATATTAAAAATACATTCAATACAATATTACCATTCAGAAAATACTAAATGATTAGTTTACTCACATAATGATTCTTCTGTTCAGGAACCAGTATTTTCGTCTATGCCTGTCATATCCAATAGGTTCATGTCGAATGTATGGTTTATTTTTTTGGATTTCAGCAACACAGTCAGTTACTCCAGGCACCTTATGTGCTACACAGACCTCGCACTGCCATTCATCTTCTGGTACCTCTTCAAGAGGTGGTTTCACACACTCCAAATGGTACACAGCTGAACAAGTTTCACAGCAAAGCAAATCCCCAAGTTTGTGACAAACCCTACAATGATCATCATACTGAATAACACCTTCTGACATTAACTCTTCACGTGCAATGTTTGTTGTAAGAAACTGATCCACTAAGAACTGCAGAACTTTGATTTTATTCTCTACTGGTCCATAAGGATAGTCCTCTGTCTCTTGGTAAGGAAGAACATGATGGTATTCCTTGTCACTCTCACAATATACCCGCAGAACCTCTGGCCACGTCATTCCATCTATGAAATACAAAGTGGAATTAACGCTATCTTTGAGGTCAGCAGGTCCAAAGGTAGTATTTGAAGTGTCTTCTTCACGTAAAACTGCTTTTAAAAGCACTATATGCATCTCTGCCATAAGTGTGCACTGCTCTTGACTTACCAGAGCGGCACAGAAGTCCTCAAAACGAAAAGGAGAGAGGCGTAAAACAGTGCCAAAGTTCCTTAGTACCTCATAGATGGCAATAACATTCATTATATGCTCACTAGGCACCATTAAGTCCTCTGAGGATTTAGGAAACTCCAAGGGTGGGATATCTTTTTCTTCCAATATTGGAGAACGAGGACGGTGTACTCTTTGTCTTCTCCTACCTGGAACAAAAAAAACAGTAATAAGAATTTTGCCATTTCCAGGTCAACATGTTTAAACATCTATCATCAATGACTGTGTCAAACTTTCTATACTATTGCAAATTAATGATCACATTTATGTAACTGCGAAGATGTGAATAATTCAACTAATAATCTTATACTTTAATTAACAGTAGGAAAATACACAAGATATCTAAAGTTTTACTTTAGACACTTAAAGCAGTTGCATTTCCCATACAATACACATCTACTGAATCTTTGAAATTATAAGACATTGAGCATAATTAATTCAGTCTCAGATGCTAATTCAGATAAGATGCTACACTTTCTTCCCTTTAATTCCACTATCCTTGAAGGCAAGCAGAACAAAAAACAAGAGGAGAGCTTCTGTGCATGGCACTACTAGACAGGCGAAATACTTCAATCTTCTATCAAAATAATGAAAAAGTATCCAGCTGCATGCAACTAGTCTGCAGCTATCAGTTAAAGTATTAGGATGCACTCATTAAACCTACTTCCCTTTTACAAAAAACCCCAAACAACCCCCCCCAACTTATTCAAGTTTAGACAATCTCATAAACTAATCACAAAACTGTCATCCTGGTTTAAAACCAAGAACTGAGATGACAACTGGTTTTAGGTCCTTTGGTAAGCACACTAATATTCTGGTCAACAACTAAAATTCATAATTATCAATTCTACACAAAGAAGTCGTCGGCAGGATGCATTTTACTCACAGAGAAAATCCAAAGGAAAAATGAAGCTGTCCGTAACAGCAATTTCATATGCGCACTTTAATAAAAAGTGACATATATTATGCATTGTGTGACCTGAGACTGAATAGCGACACAATCAGTATTCTGGAATTTTAAACTTCACATTAATAATTTCTTGATCAAATTCTGCAAATAACAGACCTCCTCAAAAACTGGTTCAAGAAAATTAAGAGATAAAGTAAGTTCCATTGATCTTGGATGTCACCATTAAAAGGAAATGGTTCTCTGTGGCATTCGTTCAACCCACCCTACTCCCTCCAATACTCCCAGAAATACAGGAAATAACTGTAATGAGGGGGGTAAGACCTGCTAAGGCAGGCAGATACCTAAAAGACAGATCCTCAGAATCCAAAACCACCATCATTAAAACTTCAATGTGCTGAAAACAAAAGTTACCAAAAAGAAAAGCTACCTTTAAGAAACATCTCAATGCACAATAGACAGTTTGCCAAATGATTCCAGAAGAAAAAAAATCAATCAATCATTGAGCTAGTATGGCAAGATGACACCAGATACATCTCTCCCTCTCAAACTTTAAAGAATGAAATCTTATGGAACAAATTAGACATTTTGAAATAGTATGGAAGATGAACTGCCAGATGTTTCCATTACAGAAGTAATGGGTCAACATCATCTGCGTATAAAAATAAATTTCCAAGTTTAGTTAAGTCTGAGTTCTGACTGTGGGAGATGAAAGAATGCTTGTGTGACTGTCTTCCAATATGCTTCTGCACAAATCAGTGGAAAATGTTTAATCATGGCAAACACACAAGAACACAGGAGTTTCACAGCCAGGCACAAAGCAAGCGTTCTTACGGCAAGAAACATCTAGATTAAACCCAACTTTTCTATCACTATGATCCAAAATCAGACATGCATAAACCAAAGTCGGTTTAATTAAAAAACCCCAAAGCAAAAAACACACACGCGCACACTCACAGATTAAACTACTTTAGGGTCCTGAAGCTTCCTTAAATATTGCAGGACGGTGTAGGACCAGTCCTAGTAGGTAGTCGTGCAAGACAACACTGCAGAACAGATATTCTGCAATCACTAATGGTCTTCATAGAGTCCAAATATCACAAAAAGCTGACAGAGCTATAAACTATGATCCTTTTCAGTGTTTGTAATTGCAGCAGAAAACATGTCTGTCACACAATAAAGCCAGAAAAGAAACAGCCCTTCAAGAAAGCAAGCAGCAAGAATGATAACCCCGGTTTATCTAAATTAATCAGAAGTGACATCCCCTGCCCCCCCCC